TCTTTAAATAAAAAAAAAAAAAACGAATAATCTAATTAAACTATGAAGCAAAGAAGAAATTACCCAATACAAACTTAAGCCAGTTCCTCTTCAGCAAAAAGAAGATACAAATAGCCAGTAATCATAGGAAGAAATGTTCAGTGTTTCTAGAATTAATAAAATACAAATTAAAATGAGGTTAAAGTTTTTCACCCATAAATTGCAAAACTTTCAAAGTTGTATAACACTCTAAGCATTGGTGGGAGCATGTACATTGGGATAGCTACTTTGGCAAATCTACTGACATTTAAATGCACACACCCTCTGATTTCACTTCCCCACATGTATCCTATAGAAACACATGTGCACAAGGAAACATGACAAATATGTTTACAGAAGTATTTGTTGAAATGGAAAGAATTGGAAAACATCTCACTAATGACTCAAGAGTGGAATATGTGTATTATGAAATACTATGCAGTTGTTTTTAAAAACAAGGTGGATCTCTGTGCATGAACAGGGTTGTATCGACAAGACATATTGTTGAATGAAGAAAGCAAGTTGCCGAGACGTACATATAATGTTATACCTGCTCTTTACAAAACACTACAGGGGGCACCTGGGTGGCTCAGTCGTTAGGCATCTGCCTTCAGCTCAGGTCACAATCCCAGGGTCCTGGGATCGAGTCCAGCATTGAGCTCCTTGCTCAGCCGAGAGTCTGCTTCTCTCTCTGCCTCTGCTGCACTCCCTGCTCATGCTCGCTCTCTCTCTCAAATAAATTTTAAAAAATATATTTAAAAAACACAACAGATTCCAACAAATTATCTCCAGGTGGAGGGAGAAAGGCGTGACATTGACCAAAGGACATTAGACTTCTTATGTATAACATTCCAAATTTTTGCAAGGAAAATGTAACTGCATACTGCTTGTATTTTACAGTAATTTGAAATTAAATGCATAACAGGAAGACACTCCAGGGCAATAAGAAGAGAGGAACTAGTGATATACTAAGCAGAAGAAGCCAGACACTAAAGAGTGCTTTCCAAGTAAATCCACGGAGATGAAGTTGTGCATGGATGAAATCCATGAAGATGAAGAACAAGCAAAACTATTCTATAGTGGGAACAAAAACCAAAGCTGTGGTTCTTCTGAGCGTGGTGGAGACAAACCAGTGAGGGGCGCTAGGGTGATGGAAAGATGGGGCTCCTGTGGATGAATCCATTGTGAAAATTGGACAGTTGGGATCAGTGCATTTCAATGTCTGTAAGTTGACCTCAAGAAATGAAATGAATAAAGTTGTCTAGATTTGTGTCTGTCATGATACAATGTTTGAAATTTTCATTTTGTCCCAAGTTAACCTGGTGCATTCTTCCTTGAAACACACTCATCCTCGCTTTCCCATCTCTGCCATCCTCCCCTTGGTGACGTCACCAAAGCCCAGCTCACACTCCGCAAGAGGATGGCCAGGTGACTCTGGCCACACAGCACGATTTGAGGAGGAGGGGAGTGTGTCCCATTTGTTAAATGTGGCTGGTGGGCAGGTGTTTTATTTGTGGGGAATGTGTGTTGTGAGTACAGCGTGGCCAGCCCCACGAAGGGGACAGCGGAGGGGAATCGTGAGTCATCTACTGTGCTACCTGATCAGTATGTTTCGTGTTCAGGAGTCGGTTTACAGAGATGGGAAGCAGAATAGATGCATAGGAAAAGGATACCAGTTCAGCTTTTTAATTATGGAAAAGTTGGAAAGGGGAAAGAAACAAAGCAAATGGGCATGTGCTCTTGAGAGAAAAATGTGACCTGAGAGTGGTTGTTCTCTGCTGGCCTCCAAAGGGCCTTCTCTTCAATCTTACAGGGAGGGGCACCCATATTTTGAATTTCAGCAAAGATGGGAGCTAGGCTGGAAAGGGGGGTGGGGCTGGTGACTGGTATTCCTAACAAGGAAGACGTACTTCCCACCAAATGAATGAAGGGAAGATTTAAAAGGTTAAATACTTGGGGGTTGTGATGAGAATTTAATGAATGATTGCACTGGGAAAAATACCTGGCGTTAACTAGCAGGCATAAATGTTATCTAGAAGGAATGGCAGCAGCTACAGCAGTAATAACATGAAACAAACTGAAATTCAGACTATTTTGGCTTTTTGCGAATATGTCTTAGTTAATTTTAGTTTTAAGAACTTCACCCTATCTCAGTTGGAAGAAAAAGCGAAGAGAGAAAATAGAACATTTTTACAAGTTGGTCCAGATTGATAGGGGATGTGGTAGTTTCCTCCTTTGGGTTAGAGATGGAGGGTGTGGCCAGCCCGGAGACTCAACCAGTCCCTGATGTGGGGGAGGCTGGGCCAGGTGGTGAAATAGCAAGAGGCTGAGGGAAGCTCGGAGGCCAAAGCACCTTTGTACCAGAACCATCCAAGTTTTAGGCCAAAGCTGAACTATGGGTTCTTCTCCCCCACTCCTCAAGGTCTCCTAAATCTCACCCATTAATGGTTAGACTGGCTGATCTTCCATGATGGAGGACTAGGTCCAAATTGTTGTACTTTTTCATATATAAAAAACATTTTTAGGGGCGCCTGGGTGGCTTAGTGGGTTAAGCATCTACCTTTGGCTCAGGTCATGATCTCAGTGTCCTGGGATCGAGCCCCGTCTCAGTCTCCCTGCTCAGTGGGGAGTCTGCTTCTCTCTCTCCCTCTGCCCCTCCCTCCGCTCATGCTCATGCTCTCTCCCAAATAAATTTTTTTTAAAAAATCTTTAAAAAGTATTTTTATTAAGATAAAATACATACGAAATTTGCCGTTTTAAGCACAGTTAAGTGTAGAATTCAGTGGCATGAAGTATATCTACAGTGTTGTGCAAGCATCACCACGATCTGTTTCCAAAACTTTTCATCACCCCAAGATGTGGGTACTTTTTACCTCCCCTGACTTGAGAAATGATGTTAGAATGGGCCAGAAGTCTAGATTAGACATAATCTAGACATAATCTCCAATCACTTCATTTGTATAGATCAGGAAATCAATATTCATAAAAGGTTTTTTATTCAAGGCCACAAAACTGGATGATGGCAAGGCTGAAACTCAAATCCAGTTTCTTGATTCCTAGTCAAGAGCTCAGTCCCCAGGGAGGTGTTTCTACTATGCACCTTACTTATTCTGCTTCCACTGCTTCTAGCTACCCAGATTAATGAGTCTATTGCAGAGGTTGTAATGTTAAATACTTGCCAGAACCTATAGGTTCATGATAGACATTCAAGAGGTGTTTCTTGGATAAGGGAATTAATAAATCTGACAAGGTGAAGAGGTTAATAAATCTTCCCAGCTAACCTAGAACAGCCGAGGGCGCCTGGGTGGCTCATTGGGTTAAGTGTCTGACTCTAGATTTCAGCTCAGGTCATTATCCCAGGGTGGTGAGATAGATCCCCACCTGGGGCTCCCTGCTGAGACAGGATCCTGCTTAAGATTCTCTCTCTTCTTCTGCCCCTCCCCTACCTCCCACTCACACATACATACGAACTCGCTCTCTCTCATAAATAAATAAATAAATAAATAAATAAATAAATAAATAAATAAATAAGCAAACAAACCAGAGCAGCCAACTTTAACTTTAACATTATTCCCATATAGATAGCCAGTTTTTAGATTTAGATTTAAATTTGTATGTGAAATGTCTTAATAGTCAACATTATATGGTAAAAAATACGTTTGGAGGCCATAGTCATTATTCAGACCTCTGTACCTCCAGAAATCCAGGTGTGCTGTG